AGGGAAAAGTGCTTCACTATGGTCAGCCACAATCAAAGAATAAAGATACCTTAACTTTGAAAATTGATCAACTTTGATAATAACTAACCGAGAAGATCAATGACTTTTGCCCAATCACTATTACCCTAATTTGTCCTAATAATAAATATAAATAAAGGGTAAAGCAAAACAGATATCCAATTTGTGCATCATAGTATGGGTTTCTAGCAAACACAAACCTAACCAACTTTGAAAAATGATGCAAGGTTGAAGGTGTTATTATCCCACGATACTTTAGTTTGATGAATCAATGTGGGCACAGCTTCAACCTATACTAGTAAAATTAGGTTAAAAATTGATTAATAATGTTCAAGGATTTATTATGTAAGAGTCATGGCTTGGGCTCCACACATCCACTTTAAATTACCGAGAAAATTATTCCTAACAGATGCAATTAGGATTTCATTTACCTCAACAAATATACCAAAATTGGTAATTTTCTTAACATTGCATTTTACAACATCACCTACATGAAGTGTGAAACAACCTAGATTGAAATCTGCCACTGGCCTAATAACTCGTTAGGCCAAGGTTCATAGACCCTCAAAAGCACAAAAGTCAATTTATTAGCAATGGTTTTATACACAAGCTTGCCACTAACCTATTAACTCTTTGGTCCAAGGTCCATAGGCTCACAAATCCTCATTGATGTGGGATTCAGGGCATTATAATCTCTTTTACTTAAATGCTTGACGTTTGGACCTCAACACTGGTCATGATGGACTTAAATGCTTGATGTTCGAACCTCAACACCGGTCATGATGGCTAACATGGGCTCACAATTATGAAAGGTGAAAGGTGAATGCTCTAATACCAATTGAAACCACCCGAGTCGAAGCCTGCTACTAGTTTAATAACTCTTTGAGCCATGGTCCACAATCCTTAAAAACTCAAGCTTAAGTTGTTAGTAGTGGTTGGATTTCACACTTATATACAAGATTCACTCACAAGTCTCCTGATGGAGAATTAAGGGCGTTACAATTTCCTCTAGTTAATGCTTGATATCCTCATCAAGTTCAAGTATGATCAGAACTAGGCCCACTAGGCCACAATCACAAGATTCACCTCAAGTGGAGCATAGGTCCACAACTACGCAAGGTGACCACTCCAATACCAAACAAAACAACTTGAGCTAAAGCCCACCCTTAAGCTAACAACTCTTCGAATCAAAATCCATGGGCCTCAAAAACTCCACACTTGCGAGAGATTACCATTCTAATACCAACTGAAATAACTCGAGCCAAAGTCTGCCATTAGCCTAACAACTTTTCAAACCAAAGTCCATAGGCCCTTAAAAGCTCAAGTTTAAGTTATTAACAATGGTTTTTTACACTTATATACAAGATTCACTCATAAATCTCCATTAATATGGAATTTGAGGAGTTATAATCTCCTTAACTTAAATGC